CAACACAACAAAACAAAACAGACAATAAGCATTGGTGAGGACATGGAGGAATTGGAGCTTTTGGGCACTGTTGGCGGGAACGTGTAATAGTATAGGCTCTGTGTGGAACAGTACGGTGGTTCCTTAAAGAGTTAAAAATAGAATTACTACATTGATGATTCAGCAATCCCACTTCTGACATGTACAATACTCAAAAGAACAGAAAGCAAGATCTCAAAGAGATATTTGTACACCTATGTTGTGGCAGCACCATTCACAAGAGCTAAAACATGGAAACAGGCAGTGCCCATCAGTGGATGACTGGATAAACAACATGTGCCGTACACACTCACAGACTGTTGTCCAGCCCTGAAAAGGGAGGAAATCCTGCCACCTGCTACAACATGGACCAACTTTGAGAGCACCATGCTCAGTAAAATAAGCCACCAGGAAGAGACAACTGTATATGATTCACTTATGTGAGGCACCCAGAGTAGTCAAATTCAGAGAGGCAGAAGATACAGTGATTTCCAGGGCTGAGGGGAGAAGAGTTATTGTTTGATGGGTGAAACTTCACTTTTACCAGATAAAAACAGTTATGAAGGGGCCAGGGATTTAGCTCAGTGGTTCCACCGCCTGCCTCGCAAGCGCAAGGTCCTGAGTTAGATACTTGGTACCAAAAAAAAAGTTACGAAAACAGGTAGTGGGAATCTATCACAACATTAGGAATTTATTTAATACCACTAAAACTGTGCACTTAAAAATAGTTAAGATGGTAAATTTTGTTATTTATATTTTGTAACAACAAAAAATTAGACAAAATTAAAGGACACTAGAGAGCAGTTTAAAGCCATATAAATTAAAAAGGACACTAGTAAAGGTAACTGCATAAGTAGCATAAGTAGAGACAAAGCCACTATTAATTGAACATGGGGTTTGTAATTCTTTTTTTCTATGTGAATGCATAAAATAATGATATATCTATGGTAATAGAATACAATATATAAAGGAGTAATTTGTGAGAACAGAAAAGAGGTAGGGGCCAGGGATTCAGCTTAGTGGCACTGCATCTGCCTCACAAGCACAAGGTCCTGAGTTCAATCTTCAGGAAAAAAGAAAAAAGAAGAAGAAGAAAAGAAAAAAAAAAAAAGAAAAGGGGGAAGACAGAATTATATGGGACTGTAATTCTTTGTACTATTGAAGCTAATTTGGTTTTAAACTATATTGTACATTTAAGATGTTAATTGTAAACTGAAGGCTAACCTTTAAAGAAAATATTTTTAGAAAGTTTGTAAAAATAAGGAAAATAGAAATCTTATATAGAAGAAGAAATAAAAGGGGAATCAAATCAGTACGTGAGGACAAAGTCAAACACAAAAGAAAGCAGTAATAGAGGAATTGAGAGAGGAAATTTTTAAAACATAGAAAACAAATAACAGGGACCAGGGATTTAGCTCAGTGGTGCCGCTGCCTGCCTCCCAAGCACAAGGTTCTGAGCTCGATATCCAGTACAAAAAAAGAAAGAAAGAAAAAAAGAAAACAAATAGCAAAGCAGAAGTCCATAATCCCAGTACTCTGGGAGGCTAAGCCAGGAAGATTGCAAGTTTGAGCCCAACCTGGGCAATTTAGAGAGAACTTGTCTGAAAATAAAAAAATGTAAAAGGCCTGGGGATGAAGTTCAGTGCAAAGACCCTAGGTTCAATACCCAGTACACCTGCACTGACAAAAAGATAGAGATGGCAGAGTGAGTAAAAACATATGATCCAACTGTGTGCTTGTGGCCTGCAAGAGATTCACTTTAGGTCCCCAGACACAGAGAGGTTCCAAGTGGAAGAGCTTTATACAAAAATAGCATTCCGTGTAAATAGCAACAGAAGGAGAGCTGAGGTATCTGCATTACCCTTAGACCAATCAGACTTGGAGTCAAAATTATTACACGAGACAAAGCACATTATATTTTACTGAAAGGGTCAGCCCAGCTGTCACCAACAGCCCACACACTTATCTTCAAACTTCCCTGCCCACAAACCTGGGCCAAGTACTTACAAGTTCCCACCCTGGCCCCACCAGAGTGGGAAATCATGTCAGAATGAAACAAACAACAAACACACACACACATACACGCACACACACCCACACAGCCTTCCTTGAGGTTCTCAAAGAAATGTGCTGTGTGCCATAGACCTCTGGGTTCTTATTCCCACTCTGGCATCTGCAAGTCCTCCTGAGCCCTCAGTCCCCATGTGTTCGTCAGGGACAACTCTAAAAGCCTCACAGCTTCCCCTGCCCACATCCCTACAGAAGCCTCCCATTCTCAGGCCTCTCCCATCCCCTATGTCCTAAGGGACCCTGGCTGTCACAGTTCTGTTTACAGTTTCTTTCTAGTATCTACCCCCTGCCCCTACCAACTGCTCTGGAAACTCTGCCTGGGCAGGCAATAGCCACTTTCTCTCTGCATCCTTGGTGCCAGATCTGGCTTGGAGAAAAGGGGCCCAGTGCTGCTTTGCTTGGTGGGTGAGATGGGGTTACAGCAAGCAGCCTCAGACACTCCAGCAATCTCCAGGCAGCCCCACCCTACTCCCAAAGCCATAAACACAGTGGGTCTGTCACGCTGCCACAAGGTTCTTAGAGAGACCTGCAAATGCCACCTAGCAGGGCCCGTCTGATCTACTAGTCCCAAACCTCTGTGCCTCTGTTGCACCTCAGCCCTCTCCAGGCCTCCTCTTCCTGCCTGTTTCCACCCCACCCCCAGCATCATGGCGCCCTACCTTGTCCAGACGCACCCAGCTCAAGTTTCAATGAGCAGTCTAAGCCTCGAGGATATTGTCGCCTACCTCATAGCCTTGTTATAGAAGGAGACTGTGTGTAGCATGCCTGGCACATGGGAGGATCACCACGGGTTCTGTTCCCATGAACACAGCCCTTACCAAATAAATAAGCTTTCTTCATGAATGAAAAGATTTGGGTTCTTGGACCTCTCTTGTAAAGCTGTCTCTTGCATCTGGTACCCTAAGGGGTTTGGAAAGGTAGGGATGATGGATGGGTGTGTGGATGGATGAAGAGATGAGATGGGTGAATCTGTGTCCCTGACATGTCCCACATGGGGTGATACTCTACATGGAGAAAGAACCATTGTATTCTTTGAGGTCTTCTGAGATTTTTCCTCCCAAATAAAGTAAGAGAGAACAAAGGATGGGGAAATGTCACGCCTAGGACCACTGTTATTATTACCGTTATCAGTGGTGGTCATGGAAATCTCTATGGAGACTAAGCACTGAGCTAACAACCATTTTCTATACACTGGGATTGGTCTCAGACGTCCTTATAAGGTAGACGTCCTTATCAGTCTTTTCTTACATATGCAGCAACCTGCCTGCAGCCACATAGCTGGAGAGTGATGGAGCCAGGATTCCAACTGTGCTCCTGGGAACCATGATGGTGCATCGCTATTCTTCACTTGTTTGGCAGAGTGGACCAGTGTGGGGGCTGAGGAGATGGGGCAGTTGAGGCTGTCCCTCTTCAGGGCTCTTTGGGAGGCCCAGGATGGAAGGGAAAGGGGTGAGATGCATACCTGCGTTAGCTGAGCAGGGACATAGCTCAGTGTTTTGTGGATCTTAAAGGATGAGGAAGGAGGTGTTAAGACAGACAGGAGAGATAAGAGCAGGAAAGCAGTAGAAGGAAGTGTGGCATTTTGGTCTCACAACAGTTGTGCTGAGAAGAGGACTTTTATCTTGACTTTATGGGTGAGGAAACTGAGCTCAGAGAAGGCTAAGTAATGTGCCCCTAGCTCCTCCTTCTTGTCAATAGTGAGCTCAGGATGGAGCCAGGTGTGTGGGCTCTGCTTTGCAGAACTGCATAGCTGGTCAGCTCCCCAGAGTTGAAACGCTGCTGAGACCAAAGGCACTCCCTGTGTGAGCCACAGACACCTGCTCCCAGCAGAGGCCCACAGGTAGGTGGGCCAGCATTCAGAGGAAGCAGGAGGGGAGGGGGTCATATAGGGGCTCCAGTCAGCTCGAGGCCTGCCTGAGGGAAAACTCTGAGGAGGTAATGGGGGCCCAGGCCCCTCTTCTGAGAGGCTCTGTGTATCCCCACTCACCCAGCCCCCTGTGGTCCAGCCGTGACATATAGCACTCAGTAAAGGCCACTTTCTTTCTAAGTCTCTGGACATCTCTGATGGGCTTTTGAACAAGCTATCAAGCCAAGGGGCCTGGGGTAAAACCCTATTCCAATCCTGCCTTCTCACGCATGAGCACACTGAGTCCAGGTGGCCTCAGGCTGCAGAACAAAGCTTCTGTGTTTCCTCTGGTGGCCCAGTACCACAGGAAGCTGCTGGCCACGTCCCCACATTACCCATCCCAGCAAGCCCTGAGGCCCTGTGCCAGGCCCACCTGGCTTGGTGCCCACATTCCTGGATCCTGCTCTGGAGACCAGAAGCTCATTAGAGCCTCAGGCTGGTCACGGGGAAAGGCTGAGGACCTTACGCCTTTGTGGTCCGGAGGAGGAAGCGGGGCTGGAGGGCTTGGCTGGGTGGCAACTCCTCCGTCTCCTCCCATAAAATCCCAAGGAACTCTACTTGGGCCATGTCACCCCCCCCCTCACTGCTGCCCGCGACCCTCAGGACAAATCAGGCTCAGGGCCTCTCCTAAGCAGCCTTGCCAAGCCCTGCCCCTTGGACTTTCCACATACTTTGCACAGTCTGGTCCACAGCCTGGAATGCCTGTGATTCCGAGATGGGGGTGACTCATTTCTGCCCAGTGAGGTGAGTCGGTGAAAGGAGGAAGCCCCAGTGGGCATCAGAGGGAGCAAGTCCCAGATAAGCCTTTGAGAGGCAGGAAAAGTTTCTCAGCTGGGTTTTAAAGCACAAGTAGGGATTTTTCCAAGAGAAAAGACTGGAGAGGGCATCCCACAGTGAGGCATATAGACAAGCGGATGGGATGGCAGCAGGCTGAGCACCCTACCCCCCAGGTCAGCCCTGCCGAGGGTGGAAGAGACTAGAGGGCTCAGAGGCGGGGAGCACTCACCTGCTGAAGAATCACCATGGTTCTGGTCGGAGCTCCCACTGCCTGTTCCCCGCTGCCTGGCAGACACGGTTCTGCAGGAGAGAGACCATGTCAGCCTCTAGGCAGACCAGCCTTGGCATCCTTGAGCCAAGCAGGGGTCACCGGGCACCTCCTGAAGCCCAGCCCCTTCTCCCTTGGGGGAACCCGCCAGGCTTCTCTTCTCTGGCTTCAGTCCAGCTCAAATGACACAGCCTCATCCTCCGTCCCCAGCTCTGTGGCCCAGAGAAGCTGAGCCGCTGTCATTCTCTCAGCCACTGTCATCCAGCAGCTCCCAAAGAGCTCCCCAGAGGGAGCAAATCTACTTGCTTGGGCAAAGGGGTCCAGAGACAGACCAACACCTGCCTGAGGTCACACAGCAGGCAAGGGCAAGTTAGGGGCCAGGTCTTGGCCTCTGGCCTCTGGCCTCCTAGCTCAGGGATGCCCCAGGAGCATGGGGGACAGAGCAGCCTGGTCTGAGGGAACAGTCACAGGCTAAACATGACCGGTGCATGGCACACCTCGGCTAAAACTCTTCCCAAGCATCCTTGTGTTCCCTGCTGCTGTCTCAGCCTTTTCTCTTCTTACCCTTACAATGGGACCATTCTTAGTGACTCACTATTCCTGAACTACTCCAGCTCTCCTCATACCTCTTGGCCTTTGCTTACACTGCTCCTTCCTCCTGGAATTCTGACTGGAATGGCTCAGTTCAGATGGCACCTCCTCCTGGAAGCTTCCCTGACTACCCAAAGCTCCCAAGAACCTCTGTGTTTACCTTTGTCCCAGCTCTGACTGTAATCATGATGCTGTCTGGACCAGGGTCTGTCCCTACCTTTGCTCCTAAAGTCAGGGAGTTAATCCAGGGCAGGGCCAGAGCCCAAGCAATTGCCTTTTCTCCAGCCTCATCCAGGCTCAGCAATGGGCTCAGGAAGGACTTACGGGATGAACGTGGCCATCAAAGGCAGCTGTGGTCCACAGGCCCTGGCATGAGGTCTTCTGGACCCCAACCCGCCCACAGGATGAACATCAATTTTTCACAAGAGCCCATTCAGAGGCACTGGGACATTTGATCTTCTTCCATGACACTGCCTGACACCTGAGCCCTGACCTCAGGGCTGCAGGCAGGGCTGGAGCTCTGGATCCCAGAGGATATGTGGTCTTTCCTGAGACACGCATGGGGCCTGAGTGTCTGGCAGGGAAAAGAAGGCTGGAAGGGTCTGCAAGCAGCTCCCCAGGAGCTTTGTCCGAAGAGGTTGCCCAAGCCACTGTGCTGGCATTGGACGTCAGCATGAGCCATGAGAGCCAGGGGCCAAACCAGCATTTTTATGAAAGTGTAAGGGCTTTGGAGGATGGTAAGAGGATAGAATTTAAGGCCCACCCATTAGGAAAACTATGAGATGTGCATTTTATTTCTAAAAAATAAGAGCTAGATCATGGTCAAGTTCATTGCTTTTCAAATTGACACCAGGGAACGCACACAGTAATTGTGTTTCTAAGTCCATCCTGATTCCACCTTGTCTCTATGACAGTCCTGGCTGGTGGGGCTTCATAGTCCCATACACAGATGGGAAACTTGAAGCACAGAGAAAGGAAGTGACTTATCCTAGCAGTGAGGCAGGAGTGTCAGGGAGAGACCAAAGGAGGCTGAGAGACAGGGACAGAGGACTCTCCTGCACACTCTCTCCATGCCAGCACGCCTGCTCCCCTGGCAGCAGAATGCTCCCCAACCGAGCCCCAGTGCAGAGACAATTTGATGAACACAGTAGCCTTGGCCCTTCCCTTCTCCAGGGTTCAAATTCTCACCTTCCCAAGCTCGGGACAATTGAATTCAATGGCTGTTGTGGTGGAGCCTCCATGGGTGGCAGGAAATGTCCGAGCATATGCTATAGGGGCACAGGCTCCACCCAAACCCAAAATACCCTCTTAGTGCCAGAACACAGGAAACCCATCCTTACCTGAGTCCCAGCTGCACACTCACAGCGTTGCACGAGCCTGGTTGCAGCTGCCACCTGCACGGAGATCTCAGGAGGCTGGCGCCACCAGTGAGGCACAGCCTGCAGATACACTGCCCCTTCCTGGGTCTTGCCCCACAGCTTGCCCTGGATGCCTCTCTCTCCTGTTCTGTCTGCCCAGGAGGCTGTCCAGCCAGCACTGCCACCCTCCCCTCTCACTCCAGAGCCTTCTCCCAGGAGGCGGAGCCCAAGGGGGCCTCCAAGGTCTGGGTGTGGTGACATCAACATGGGGGGCGGGCTGTGCTGGGACTACTGTCCAGAGGCTGCCCAGCACTCTGCACAGAGCGCCACCAGCCAACAGGGGGGCAGGAACATTGCAGTCTCTGACACATGTGGGGCCCAGGGCCACTCACTGAGGCCTCAGGGGCCCCCTGTCATTTGCTGCACCACTACCTGCTGCCTCAGCGAGGAAACCCCATTGTAATCTTGACTTGGTCACTGATTTGCTGGAGTCTCAGCCTCACCTGGGACAGCCGCTGTCCTCTGTGACACTGTTTGAAACTCTGGCAGGGCCTGGCCAGGGCAGGCAGGGCAGCAGGTGGAGTGCTGAGAGAGCAATGTCCTGGCACCTTCTCCCCATCACTGCACACACACCATCTGTCCCTCCGTGTGTCCCCCTGAAGCTCATCAACTCAGTGTTGCTCCCACAACTTGTCCTGGGGGGCGAGGATGTGTGTTCTTTTCTAATCATCCAAAAACTTTGCCAAACCAGTTGACTACATCATACATATGGTACATATGGTCATACTCAACTGCTTTGAAACATGTTGACTTTGGTACTTGACACATTTTGATGCGAAAATTGTGTTCTGGTACTTGTCATTTATTTGGCACTGGATTTGCAAGCTAGAATTTGTCAGACTCGCTACCCTTTCCAGCCATTGTTTGGTACTCCTCACACCTCTCAGAATCAGTAACACCATCCAAGGTACCACTGTGGAAGCAGCCTCACATATCATAGGAACTAAGTGAAGTGAAATGCGCGGATGGAAAGAGCACACAAACCTTTGTTATTGGCACTGGCGAAAAGGGTGGCCTGGAAAGCTCCTTCTTGAGACCCAGTCCTTTCTCCCGCCCACTCTTGCCCCCCACCCGTGCACCTCTCCAAGTGCAGTTCTAGGTCTGGCAGAGAAGCAGGGGAGCTTTTGGATGCCTGGTCTCCTGTTAAAGGGATGAGTCCTCAGGGAAGCCACCAGGAGCATGGGGTGGGGAGGTTGGAGGCCTGGGCCCGAGACGACCACCAGCGCCCTCTGCTGGGCAGTCTCGACAGGAAGCCAGGCTCATTGTGATGGGGACATTGCAGGAGGGAGGCTCTGCTGGGCCTAGCTCCCTCAGATTCAGGATATCCCAGTTCACATTAGCCCGGTGGCCCTGGCAGGAGTTGCTCCAGAACAGTCTCCACCTCTGGACACCTGCAGCTGATTACTTCTACTAGAGCTCCTCAAATCACCTCTCTCAAAGGTTCCAGGCAGGCAGGGCAAGTGGCCTGTGCCCACAGGTGGGGAAAATGAGGCTCTGATTGGAGCACGGGGTGCCCACACTCCACAGGTGTAGCTGGGGCAGAATACCAGTGAGAGCTGCTGGGCTGGAGGGTGGTGAGGTGGGAAGGTTGTGGAGGAGGTGGCCTCACATGCCGTGGTAGCTCTGGACACCCACCATGCTCAGGCACTCTGCTGAGCAGGTCATTTAGTTCATTTCTCATGCTCCTGTGAAATTTAGGAATCACCATTCTGTTTTGTGATAACAGAACACCTGAGACTGGATGCTTCCTAAGAAAAAGAGGTTAATCATGGCTATTTTGGAGGCTGAGAAGTCCGAGCCTGGGTGTCCACACTGGGTAGTGGTCTCATGCTGTGTTGTGACTCAGAAAAGGATGGCATCATTTGTGGGCTTGAGTGCAGGAGCCCATCCTTACCTGAGTCCCAGCTGCACACTCACAGCATTGCACGAGCCTGGTTGCAGCTGCCACCTGCACGGAGATCTCAGGAAGCTGGCGTCACCAGTCAGGCACAGCCTGCAGATACACTGCCCCTTCCTGGGTCTTGCCCCACAGCTTGCCCTGGATGGCTCTCTCTCCTGTTCTCTCTGCCCAGGAGGCTGTCCAGCCAGCACTGCCACCCTCCCCTCACTCCAGAGCCTTCTCCCAGGAAGCTCTGTGCATGCATGGAGTAGAGCTCCAACACACGTGAGGGCCTCGCTTTCTAGCAACCAGCTCTCACAGCCACCAATCCAGTCTCAGGAAAGGCCATTTATTCCTTCCTAATCACCTCTCACTAGGTGCCTCCTCTGAAGGTTCTAGCTTTCAGTGCTGTTCCTCTGGGGCCAAGGCTTCCCACACATGCGCCTTTGCAGGATCCCACATCTAAACTACAGAAGGGGTCTTGGTTTACTTTGCCCTCCTCCCCTCTTGCCTCTCCCACCCCAAACCCAGCCTATCACTGGGGTCTGTCAATTCCGTCCTCAAAATCTGTCTCAACTCTGTTCCTCCTCACTGCTCCCCGGTTTCCCAGCTCCTCCCCACAGCTCTGCGCTGATCTCCTTTTCCCCACTTGTGCCTTGAAAGTCCATGTCCTCTTCTTGTGGCCCTCTATGTGGCTGCCTGTTTTACTGGACCAGGGCTTAGGCCTCCCTTATCCTAGCAGACTAAAAGTCCCCCAGCAAGTCCTCTATTGCCCTCTCCATAACTCTGTGCAGTGCTTGGCTGGGTCAGAGCATATGTATTAGTCTTTCCCAGCAGCCTGTGGACTGTTTAGGGGCAGGGACCGTTTTCCTGTCTCTCAGAGCTTGGAGTGGGGCTTGGTAAAGTTAGCCCTGTGCCAATTTGCTGCATGAAGGAGTGATGAGGATCCCACAGATCTCAGCCTATAAACACTTGCTCATCCCTCTGACCAGAGGACAGTCATCCATTGCCCCCCGCCCCAAAGGACAGGCAGACACAGGGACGTCTTTCTAGAACTGCAGTAACATTTATTCTGAGAAGAGAACAGGCTTCTTCTCCTCCTAACCCCATGTTGGGCCCTGAGAAGTGGAGCCCAGGTCTGGGTGGTGTGGGCTGCAGGCTTCCTGGGTTGTAAGGTGAACAAAATAATTGCTCTCCTCAACTCACCCTGTATCCTCACCTACCTAGTCCCTAGGGACTCCTGGGGACAGAAATCCCAGCACAGCCAGGAGCCAGCCTGGCCTACCCACAGAGCTGCTGTACTGGAATGGGAGGCACACCGGACCCCCAGGCTGAAGCCCACACTGGTTTCCACCTGGTCCTGATTTGCCCGTGTCCCAGAGGGATATGGCTCAACAAAAGACTTATGTGTCAGCCCCAGAGGCCTGGGCTGGCTTACCTAGTACTCACATCTTCAGCCCTGAATCAGGAGTCATAATTTAGAATAGACGTTGGAAAGTGATTACATGAATGTGTGTATAGTGTGTAGGCGTAGAGATAAATACCCAGAGACGCTGTGTTCCCTTGCCCTTACTCAGCACGTGCTAGCGAGAGTGCTGACAAATAGGAACCATCGGCCCTACTTTGCAGAGGGAAAAATTGAGGCACAGGAGGTTTGAGTGACTTGCTTTTGGTCACATGCAGAGTCCCAGTCCCAGATTCTCGAGGGGAAGCCCCAGCTTGTGAGAGGGAATTCTCTCATGCTCCTTGTCTTTGAGCTCCTGGCCCCTCCTGTGGCTCAGGGCCAGGACACAGGAGTACAGCCAGTCATGGAGTAAGGAGGCAAAATCAGAGGATCCAGCACGTCCAGCCAGGTCACTGACCCACACTTCCATCTGTGGAGTCAAGGTTCAGGTTCCTAAAAGGAATTCCTGCTCTTGAACCAAATGCACTATTCATTTGTTTGACGTGTCTGGTCTGGAAGCTCAAGGCAGGCACCAAGTGGATCACGGCACCAGCAGGCAAGAATTCTCCAGCGACACAGTCGGTACTAGCCAACAGATGTCTGGATACAAATATCTTCATCTTTACCTCCTCCAGTCCACCTCCAAGGTTTGGTTTCATCCTCATCCCTCCCCAGCTGAAATCAAAATAAAATCAGACCAGCAAAACTAGAGTTCTAGGAAGAAAAAGTAGGTTCAGGGTTTCCTTTAAAACCTCTGGTTAAAATTGAGATTTCTAAAATAGAAAGAATATAAAACAGCAAGGACTAAAAGGAACATTTTGGTCCAGACAGCAAGAAGAGCGCTTGGCTCCTTGGGGGAATGTTGGTGGAGGGGGCTCTGGTCAGGCAATGGAGTTACCCATCTCCTGCCAAGCCCACCGGGCGACAGGATCCCAGGACTGGCACCGCCCACACTAGAGTCTGTCCTCCTAGGAGCCTTGCAGCAGAGGGGAGCACTGCTTCGCCCTGGGTCACTCTGGGCCTGATGCACTAGCTGGGCACATTCCTTTCCACATCAGGGAGTGGAGGCGGGAAGGTGCCCCTTCCTCACCCACGGTCACTATCTCTCCAGGGACCTCAGACCAGGAACTGTAGATGACCTTGGAACCCGGGATAAGAAGGCAGCTGGAGCTCATCTGGGCATCCGCCTCTGAGAAGACCTGAGGGCAGCGGCAAGGCCCAAGGCAGAGGCGGGGCTCCACCTCCCTGGAGCCTCTCGGATGTCGCTCATTGCAAATCTCACCAAGAGAAGAAATGGATGGGTGGGAGGACAGGATTAGAGACTGAAGAAACATCACCCTCATGTTTCCCAAATTCTAGCCTGAGCAGGAACCTAGCAGGTACCCAGCAAGTCCTTTCAAGGTGGCCCTGAAACCAGGTGTAGGTGACACAGAAAACGAGGTCTGAGAGACCGGAGTGGGCCTGGGAAACAAGGGGCATGGCAGTTTGTGTGTAAACAAGTGACATCTTCTTGGCACTCCTCAGCAGACAGCGGAGCCGTGGGGAAATATTTTCAACAGACAGAGTCCCTTAGCAGGGGCGACAGCTGGGCTGGGGAGGGCTATTTTAACTCTCAGGCAGGAAGACTTCCTCATAAGAAGGGTCCTCCAAATGTTGAGGCTCTGAGGGGTGCAGAGGTCTTCCAAGGTCACATAGCAAGTCAGGGGGAGAGTGAGAAAGGACCCCAGTGTCTGGCTCCCGGGCTGGTCCCAGGCCTGGTGTGGACATGCAGGTGGTGGTCTGAATTACCAGGGCAAGGTAGACAGGCAGGCTGGTGTCAGACAGCGGTGAGGGAGGCACTGCTGACGATGTGCACAGCAACGGTGCCAGGCAAGTCACTGGGCTGCCGGCTATTGCGGTCTCGGAGGTGGAGGGTGTGCAGGGCCTGGAGGTCATCAGGTTCAGCCTTCAGGTGCACCTGGCCCAGGAACTCATCTTTCAGGACTCGGTGATTCCATATCTGCGAGGAGACAGAGAATTGTGGGAGGGCCCATTCCTAAGGCCAGGAACACAAACTATTGTGGGTTGTGGTGGTGGCAGCAGGGCCCAGAACCACTGCCATCCATAGTGCAAGCCTGGTGGGGACAAGAGCCTGGGTTGTCTTCCTCACCATGAGCCTGGGGCAAGGAAGTTCCCCTTCCAGAGCCTTCCATCTGCCAAAATGCTCTTCCACTCATAAAGGTTATAATTAGCTCTGCTGTTGACCTTGGGTGAACCTGGACAAGTGACCCCCCACCTGCCCCAGGTTCCCCATCACTAACGTGAGGGTTGCACCAACTGCTCCCTGGGGTCCTTCTACCTCCAATAGCTATGGGTCTGTGATTTGATCCAGTGGGACCCACAGTTTAGAAAACTTGGAAAATCTACCGTGGCTCCCCTGGGGTCCCCAAGTGTTTGTTTACAGATGGTTTCTCACCCAGAGAGATGCTGCTCTGGGCCTGAGGGACAGAGAGCTTCCTGCTAATGAGCTCAGAATCATCGTGCACCAGCCACCTTAGCCTGAGAGGAGAAGGAAGGCTGTGTCCAAGGACAGTGGCTTTCTATCCCCTGCTCCAGGCTCTTAGGAATAACTGCAGCCCACACCATCTCAGCAGCACTTGTCCAGATGATCCATCCACAGGGGACTTCAAGGAACAGCTCCCAAGGCTTTGGGCAAGGCAGCAAATGTCCCCAGCCAGTAAAGTGACCTTGGTGGGTCTGTGAATCACACTGGCTAACCGAATCCGCCCATGTACAACCCTGATGCCAGTGCATCAGGAGATGTAGGCAAGAGAATGCCAAAGCCACACTGGGAGTGAGGGACAGACAAACCAACAGAGCCCAGCGCCCCTGGGCCCCTGTCAAAGGCTTCTCTGGCCCTTCCCCTGTGGGCTCACCTGGACAGTGATGGGCTGGCCTGGCTTCTTGCGGTAGAAGATGCCTTTCACATTGTACTCGGGCATTGAGGTCCCTTTCTGTACAGACGAGTGAACTTTTTCCCCCTCACACTTGATGATCACATAAGAGTTGGGCCCTAGAGACGGAATGGGAGCTGGAGTGAGGGTGGGCTGCAGGAAGGCCTGGATGGGAAGGACGTCTGGGAGGTGAGACACCTACCTGGCCTCAGTCATTCAGGGAAGGCAAGGCTGGAGCCTGACCCACCACAGGGTCTCTTAATTCAGAGACAGGCAGTTTGGTAAGCTCTGGCTTCCAGTCCTTTACCTCTGTCCAGAGCCCCCTTCCCCTGAGGCCTTTTCACTGGATTTCATACCCCAGACCTTCTTAGCCTGGAGAAAGGCTCCCTCCCCCAGGAAACCTTCCCTGAGCATCCACGCCAGCTGTCTGTTCCAGGATCTGACCCTATCCCAGCAGGAAGCTGCCAGGGCAGGGACTATACCTGCTCTTCTCTGTGCCTTATGTCCTCCCCAGTGGATGTCAGGGAAATTTTTCTGACCACTGAGTGTGAGCTGGAGAGCTCTGAAAGCTGGGGGCTGTTCTGGAAGGGAGGGCCTGGGACAACTACCAGCAGGACCAGCAGCTTTCCCATTGAGCTCACCTGTTGTGGAGTCCTTAAGGCCAGCAGCCCCCAGGACATGGACTTGGGTCACCTGCTTGGGGTAGCCACACAGGGAGCTCCAGCAGGTGCGGGGGGGCTCATCCAGGCGCAGCTCTCTGATGTGTGGGGGGTGAGGGGTGCCATAAAGACAAATGAGGAGGTTTCAAATAGTGACATCAAGTCTGGGTCCCACACCAAGAGGGGTCAGGCAGTGGGACACACAGGGTCTGCAGGGATAGGGATGGGTTCAACAGTCCCTGGGTCCCAGAGCCATCTCCTGTCCCATGGGATAGGGCATAATGGTAGCAAGACCCCAACCCTGCAATCAGGCCAGGCAGGTGACAGGTGGTCACTACTACTACCATTGGCCATATGACCTCAGACAACTTTTCTAACCCTGGTCCTTATTTTCATGTGTAAAATGGAGTGGTCAGGCCTCCCACTCAGGGGTATGGAACAATAAAATGGGATGAATAAAGCTTCTTTGTAAACTGTACAGTACACATGACCCTGCTAGTCATACCTAAAAGGCTGAGATAGCAGTGCAGGGGAAGAGAGAGGAAGGACAAAGACACAGGGGTCGGGCAGGGAGGGCTGGACATCTGGGCTCCATGCCTCAGGCAGACACTCAGCACTGCTTGGCTGAGGACCCTCGGGGCCCAGTGTGGACCGTGCCCCACCAGCCCTGGCCCCTCACAACCCTGCGCACCGGCAGTTGGAGGGTACATCTGTGAAGACCCGGAGCAGGAACTCGCCAGTGTGGCCTGGCTCGAAGGTGGTGGGGATGATGACGTAGCGGCCCTCAGGCTGGTCCGTGCGTAGGAAGACACTGCGAGAGTTGATATAGATGGAGCTGGCCACCTTGTGCTGCAGGCTGTGCATGCGGTACTGGCGGTTCTCTTCAACCTGTGGGAGACGGAGAGGCAGAGCCTCGTAGGGCTCCACCACTGCCCCCAGCCCACTCATCTGCCCCTCGCCAGAGAGAAAGGTGTCCGGAATAGGCAAGGAGATTAGTGTTTGCCAGGGGCTGAGGGCAGAAGCATCGAAGGAATTGGGTGGTGATGGCCTAAGGCAGCAGGATATCTCTGGGGGTGATAACAGTGTTCTAAAATTGAATGTGGTAATGGTTGTGTAACTGGTAAAAGTCACTAGGTTATATACTTCAAATGACTGAGCTGGACGGTCTGTGAATTATATCTCAATGAAAGCTATTAAAAAGGGGGAGCATGTCCCGGCATGGTGACACATGTCTGTAACCCCAGTACTCTGGAGGCTGAAGCAGGAGGATTACAAGCTCAAGACCAGCCTGGGAAACTTAGTGATTTTTTCGCTGAAATACTGCCTCAATATTTCAGAAAAATTTTTAAAGGGCTAGGGATACAGCTCAGGGCAAAGGTCTTAGGTTCAATCCCCAATATCCTCCCAAAAAAAGCGGTCCAAAGAAATGCCCTGTAACCATGTCCCTAAAACAGAACCAAATACGCTGTCCCTCCTTACGTGGAGTTCTACTTTTTTTTTTGGCACAGGGGATCAAACTCGAGCCCTTGTGCTTTCCAGGCAGGTGCCGGAACCACTGAGCTAAATCCCCTGCCCTGCAGCTCTGCTTTTGATGGTTTCAGTTACCTGGAGTCAACTACGCACTGAAAGCATTAGGTTAAAAATTCCAGCAATATACAATTCACACATTTTAAATTTCACATTGTTTTTGAGTACTGTGATGCAATCTTATACCATCTGGTTTCACCCATGCAGGACGTGAATCACCCTTTTTGTCCAGCATATCCCTACCATCCACATCCACTACCTACCCAGTAGTCATTAGGCAGCTGACCTGGTCATCCTTACAGTATATAGGGTTTGGTATTTTTCACAGTTCAGGCATTCACTGGGGTGCCTGGAACACAGCCCCCTGGACAAGGGGGAATCTACATTCTCATGTCCTGCCCAAGTCAGCACAAATCCATGAAATGACATCATCAGCTGCCCAGATGGTTCTCAAAACTAATGTCACAGAACGCCATGGTCCCAAAGTCAAAACGGTGCCACAACACATCAGCATACAATGAGTGTACCAGCACAACGATGGACACAAATTGCCTCGCCATGACCGAGGACATCAAATACCAGGACCCAGCATGGACCGAGTGTTTCACACGTTCTCGGGGTCTGACAAGTACGTGGGATCCTGCTGGACCTAATGTCACCACACACTGGGTATCACATACGGAAGTCCTGTTTCCAGGTCACAGGGAGGGGCTGATGATGAGCCTGCCTGGCTCTGCCCAAAGATGCTCCTCCTGTGCATAGGAGGCCTCCAACATACAGGGAGCTGCAGGAGATGAGAGGCCCTGAGCCCCGAGGGAGGGACATGGAGGAGCCATGTGATGATCAGGAGACCCCAGAGCTCAGCCCCAACAACAGCGATCCTCACCCGTCAGAGTCTATGCTGAGGGTCTCAGGCAGGAAGGAATCAGACTGAGCGCTCCCACGGAAGTCAGGCCTAGCAGGTGAGGCGCTTTGTGGGCATCCCTGACAGGGAACATGACGATGTGAGCCAGTGCAGCCAGGACAGCTGGTGTGAGGATGGTGACCAAGGTGCTCTCGAGTGCTCTCCCCAGGCCTGGGCTGCCCAACTCTACGTCCCTACATCCCTCACCCACAGCGGGGGTCCCCGCTGCCTCACCTTGTAGATGTCAAAGCCAATGGCCAGGTTCTCGCCTTTGCCCTCCCGGCGGGTAGATCGCTTGGGCCGCTGCTGGATGCAGATCAGCACTTCATCTTCTGGCTTCTTGACCTCAAAGATGTACTGTAGGTTTGGCCAAAGAGAGGCAGTGCCATGAGACCAGGCCACAGGTGAACTCAAGAGCCAGGCTCCAGCCACTGCGGGCTGCCTGAGCGTGGCCAGTGCCATCATCGCTCTGAGCCTCGTCTCTCCTCCCTGTATGAAGACTGGGAAAACTCAGAAATAACGGATGCTTGGCTCAGAGCCTGGTACACAGTTGGTGCTCAATAAAGGCACATCAAGCAGTTGCCATGGGTTGTTGATAAGGGAGCCACGGGGAATAGACCCCTAAGGAAAAGCTCAGCCTGGACAAGTTCTCCAGGAAATGGCAGAATCACGTTGCTGTAGAAACAAGGGGTGTGATCCCCAGTTTGGCCTCTAAATATCCCTGAGACTCTGAGCAAGGTCCCTGAGAGCCAGTATCTAATTTTTACCAATTACAGGTCAAACTGTAAAGCTGGGCTTCACCATCCTCAGATAGGCCAGTGAGCCCATCCCACTGTACAGACAGGTATGCTGAAGCCCAAGGACAAACAGGGAGGCATGTGAGGTCATGCCGGAGCCTATGGTGAGACAGTGTGGGGGACCCACAGGTGCTCAGGGGCAGGGTGGGGTCCCCGAGGATGCGCACCTGTGGGTTCTGGAAGAACGTGTCCTTGTGGTTGATGCAGCCCCCGCTGCGGTTCTGCCGCGGGTCCTCGTGCCGTGTCCAGGCACCTCGCAGCCGAGCCTCCTCCCATGTCTTGTGGATGCTCAGGTAGGATGTGTTGAGGAGACGGCACTTGATGATATCAGTGAAGTACCGGCACATGTCTTCAAAGGTCATCCTGAGTACGGGGAGGGCAGAGTGAGGCGCTCCTGGGCCCACCTGTGCACTCACTCATGTGTGCTGGCCCGCGGCCACCCACGGCACCACACGGACCCTGAGCCTCTTTTGGCCTCGGTGTCCTCGTTTGGAAAAGGGGAATGAGTCTGTCAACAGCTGCCCACCTCACCGAGCTAGCGAAGGGATGAACCCATTTAGGCCAAAGATTGCAATGTTTCAAATGTTTGCCTGAAATTCATATCTGTTACCTAGAAAAATTCAAGGAACAAGAATTTGAAAATAAAAAATTTTATTACGTTCCACTGTTATGGGCATTTCAAAATGGAACACTAAGCACTGAAGGGTTAAGTTGTGCTATAAAAGCAACACAGTACAACTTCTGGCAGACAACAGGTGGCCCAGGCTGCCACAGAAACTGTTGATAGAATCAATAACTAATGTGTATAGGCTTCCACATCTGGTCTAAGGCCTCAATGAGGTGAGGGTGTGGCAGTGCCAGGGTGGTAGGGTCATTAGGTGCTACGCACACATTCAGCAGCCTGTGTGGGGCTGGGGAAGTGCACAGAGTACAAATCTGTATGAGGAGGGCCGTAGGAGGCATCCCTTTCCATGGAGGAGGGGCTTGGCTATGTTGTAATTCAATGACACCTGAGCCAGATTGGACAAGGTGGGTCTTATCCACAGGGGCCCAGGCCAGAGGGCCCAGGTGGCCTGCAGCAGCTTCCTGGAACCTAGAAGAGGGTCCTCAATGGGGGGCAGGATCACTGCCATCTGCCCTGCTCTGCCTAGGGCCTACAGTGTCTGCCCGTACCCTCCAGGGTGACCAAAGTCTCCAAACCAAGTTCTCTGCTCAGGGATGACACAGAGCCTGGCCCAGAGTTGGTACAGAACACAGGCGAATGAGTGCAGGCAGGTTATCTCCGAGGAGTAACTTCGATCTTAACTGCTGCCATCTTCCCAGACAGCCCCCTCCCCATGACCCCGGCTCCCTGCTCTTCTGAACTCCTCTTCCCAAACTCTGCATCTCTGGGCTGGGTGTCTGTACACTGAGTCTCAGCTTTGGAACAAGCTCCTCCATGGGGCCTCCTCCTCCTCTGCCCTCTCTTTTTTTTGGAGCGGGGGGCGACTAGGGATTGAATTTATGACTTTGTGCTTGCAAGGCAGACAAAGAGCCACTGAGATAAATTCCTGGCTCCTTCTCTGCCTACTCTTGGCATCACGCTGCCAGCTGCCCTTGCCATCAGGTCAGCCCCTACTTGCTGGCATCCTGACCTTCTTGCCAGGGTTCAATGTGAGCCCAGAGTAGTGCAGGGTCCCCTCAGAGAGGTAGAGGGGATTACAGAATCAAAGGGCTCATTACTGCCCAACTCATTTCACAGAGAAGGAAACTGAGGCTCAGAGACATGGTGTGACTCATCCAAGGCCACACAGAAAGCTGATGATGAGCTGTGCTGCGGCCCTGCCTCCTGAGCTCCTCCCACGCACCTCCAGTGCTCCCTGCCCCGCAGCTCAGGCACTGGCATAGCACTCACCAGAACTCGCCATCGTCCTGCACTGTCACACCCATCTTTTCCCGTTCACTCTTGCTCACCTTCTGCCACTCCTCTGAGCTGGGAGAGGAGAGGAAGCAGTGTAAGAGGAGTGGCCCCACCAGAACCTTCCAGGCAAGGTGAGAAGGCTGGCTGAGCTCAGGCCCAGGCCACCCTCGGAGGTTAGGGACACGGGAGCCACCCCCAGCCCTGCTCTACCCCCTGCCACAGGGAGCTTTGGCTGGCTGTCCCCATCCAGGCGAGGAGGGCTGGAAGCAAAGCAGACCAGGAATGGAGAGGGAGGGCATGGCCCTCAGAGAAGGGGACTCCTTTCCTAGGGGCCAGCTCCGCTCTCCTCCTGGCCTCACTGTGCACAGCACAGAGCATCAGCCCCACACACGCATAGCTGGTGCCCTCCGCAGCCCTGCCTTACTGTCCCCCCCCCCCCCCCTCCCCCCCCCCCGCAGCCCTGGCCCCCCCCCCCACGCG